CTGTGCATGGGCGTGAATTGGAAACCAGGGAAAGAGAGCGGAAAATAGAGAACGGTCATAGGTGGACATCAAGCTATGACGCCACCCCTTCCTCTTCGGTTCATTCCTGATTTCATCTTGTGGTTTTTTTTTGCCCAAATATGTAGTGTTGGAGGCGATTCGACTTACCTTTTTCCATTTATGTTCAGCAGGGGAACAAGAAGTATTGGTGAAGAGAGCTGGCATAAATTGTCCAGAGAACCAAGAGTGGGAGAACAGAAAGACGAGTCAGATGACAGACATAGGGCCGTTCGAAGTATTGTCGGAATCGGGGTAATTTAGCAGTGATAGGAACTTGCATCATTTTAATGGTAACGATCCTGAGGGTTGAATAATAGGTTGGAAAGGAAGTCCTGTCAGTGTTTTTTGAATAGCTTACAGCTTTTGATTCTTGATGCTCGAACATGACGTAACATGCTATGCTTGTAGAACATTCTAGGAAGCTTTCCCGCAAGAGGTACCTAAAGGCACCTGGTCTTCCCTGGGTTTAATTACAATGTCAGTTTCATAGGAACAGCTTCGAGTCATCATGTTCTATGGGTGGCGCCGCGGCAGTGGAGCGACGGCCGCTGTTCGCAACATCAACAGTGCATTGTGGAAGGACACCACTACCATCATGACTGTCCATCTTTGGTTCGCTCGCTTCGCGAAAGGAGACACGACCCTCGAAGACAAACCTCGGTTGGGACGGCCCCACGAAGTGGAAGACTCCACCGTTCTCGAAGCTGTCAAGGAGGGATCCGGAGGCTACCACCCGCAGTCTTGCGACAAGACTCGGATGTACCTAACTGACAGTCGTCAACCGCCTGTAAGCCCTTGACTACCGAAAAGTACTGGCTCGATGGATCACTCATACCTTGACCGATGGCACGCTGTGCACCTGGGTACCCCTTGGTCAGTCTCCCCTTCTCCGCCCTCGTCAAAAGGAGTTTCTAGGAGACTGCTCAGTGGAGATGAGAGAAGGGTTTTCTGTGATTTCAGTCCACATGGTATCGTGTGTCTCCTTCAAAGAGAAGACTCATCCTAGCAGTCCAAACCGGGCATGCAGTCCGAGAAGGTTCTCCTGTGCTGCTTCTGGGACGCGAGAGAATGCTGCACAACGAGCTGCCCTGTAAGAACACACGGTCACCGCTACCATTTGTGCCGCTCAGCTCCAGAAACCCGTGGAAACTGTTGGAGAAAAATGACCGAGACTAGCTTCGGGGCACCTCGTTCCCGAGGACGGAGACCCCATACTGCTATGGAGACCTACCAAATAATTGAGGAGCAAGGCTGAGAGACCAGACCCCGCTCATCATATTCTCCTGACATAGGTCCCTACCTGCTCCGCTTCCTCAAGGCTCTCTTAGCTAAGAAAACTGTCAGCAACTTTGACGACATCAGTCGAGAGGCCGCCGACTTACTCGATTCGCAGCCTCCCCAACCTCCCCGGGAGATGAGGAATGCTTACCTGCCCATTAGGTGGAAGTATA